AAAAAAAATGCAGCGATTGATATATAGTTTATTTATAGTTATTTTCAAAGCTTCAGTGTACTGTTATTATAAAAGAACTTCATTATTGTTTATTTCATTCTAACAAATAGCCCAAGTTCTGGTTAAAAACTAACCAAAATTAAAAATAATTTACTTTTCATTTCCACACAGGAGAGACTTGGTGTTGTTTCCAAACAAAAGGAAATATATCGGTATCGGCATCGGTCAAAAAGAGTTGAAAAATATCGGCAAAAATCAAATAACATGCAAACAGAACAGAAGAAATTCATACAGGCTTGGAACGACTTCAGGGTGAGTAAATGATGACAGAAGTTTCATTTTTGGGTGAACTACCCCTTTAAGTCTGGGTCAAGAGCAGCAAATGATTTTCTTTTTTTATTTTTGATTTACATTAAGGACAGAGAGAAGCTGGTGTATTAGGCTACTGTCACTTCATGATTGATGGTTTATAATTTAGCACCATGCCATCGATCATGGCTATATTCATGGCAAGAAACAAGTGGAAAAATAGAAAGCGTAAAACAAATAACTAAACTACATAAACCAACAACTTAAAAAAAGTTTTTTTTTTTTAAATAGTTTATTGGCCTGTAAGAAAAGTTTTCAGGCTTAATTTATTATTTACAGGTCTAGCAAAGAATCTTTTGTGATAATCTAATATAAATCATTAAGTTTAGAAGCGCAAATAACTATGGAAGCACGTTTCCGCCACTGAATAAAAAATTAAAAAGGTAATTGCGACTTTTTATCTCACAATTCTGACTTTTTTTCTCATAATTGTGTGATACAAACTCGCAATTGTGAGTTAAAAAGTCATAATATAAACTCGTAATTCTGAGAAATAAAGTCAGAACTGCGAGATATAAACTCACAATTCTGACTTTTTTTCTCACAATTCTGACTTTATAACTCACAATTGTGAGTTTATATCACGCAATTCTGTGAAAAAAAGTCAGAATTGTGAGAATTTAACCTTTTAAAAAAAATTTTATTCAGTGGCAGAAACGGGCTTCCATAGTTTCCTCATGTAAATGTGGGGTAAATGTTACACCGTACACCTAAATAGAACATGTAGCCTGCTTTTTTGTTTTTTTATCAGCAGTAACTGAGTTTCTCAAAGCACCAGGATAATGTTTGTCCTTTAGTTTGTTGTGATATGAAAAAGATGGCATGGGTCTATAAGTCATGGGAGTGGACAAATGGAATTTGAAAGGAAAGGTTTTTAGAAAATCACCTTAATGATCCACACATTCAGTTCCATAGATAAACTAACCGATGTAGTCCAAACACTTGGTTTACTAACCAGTAAAATTGCTATGCAAGAAGACTGAAGTAAGTCGCAATAACCTTTTTAAAAAAATTTTATTCAGTGGCAGAAACGGGCTTCCATAGTTTCCTCATGTTGTAAATGTGGGGTAAATGTTACACCGTACACCTAAATAGAACATGTAGCCTGCTTTTTTGTTTTTTTATCAGCAGTAACTGAGTTTCTCAAAGCACCAGGATAATGTTTGTCCTTTAGTTTGTTGTGATATGAAAAAGATGGCATGGGTCTATAAGTCATGGGAGTGGACAAATGGAATTTGAAAGGAAAGGTTTTTAGAAAATCACCTTAATGATCCACACATTCAGTTCCATAGATAAACTAACCGATGTAGTCCAAACACTTGGTTTACTAACCAGTAAAATTGCTATGCAAGAAGACTGAAGTCCATGCAAATTAGCATAGTGATCAAAAACTATATTAAACTGCTTGGAAGGAAAGTAGTTTGAACCCTGCCAGATTCTCTGACTCTAGGTGGCAGTGTTTCTTTATTTCTAGTGTATGTGTGGTTGTTGAAATGTACTTGTGTTAACAGTAATCATTTAATGGGCAGATGGCGATTGTAAAACTCTCCACTCTATTGGTGTGAAATGATATAAAATAAGCAGAATAAAACTTTTAAATGAAGAGAGGGGTCAGCGACAAGCAATACTAAATAAAAAAAAGGGTCAGTTTAATGAAATGACAGGAAATGCTGTCGTTTGCCAGGTTGCGTGCAGTGGTACAGTCCTGGATTCAGTCCAGTGTGATGAATTTATGAGTCAGATGAGGTGGGAAACAGAAGTCTGTTCTCAGTTATATAATCTCCAAACAAGACATTCCTCAAGAGGAGAACGACATGTGAAAACACATTCAACAGGTTCATACAATACAGTTACGCAAAGTCAGCAAAATGTTATGTGCAAAAATACTGCTGTGATGTTTAACGATAATGATTTGTTCTTATGACGGTGCGAGGTTGTTGTGACACAGAGGTCTTTACACACTCCAAATGAAACGAAGGACGACCGAGAACAATCATCTCTCGTGCGTACAGTCATAATGATCGAAGTTTGTGCAGAGATGAGTCAAAGCTGAGGCTGTCTGCTTCTGTCTTATTTGTGCCGCATTATTACAAACATATAATTTAAACACTGTACTTGCCAAAGGAGAACTTTGAATAGAAGCCCACAACAATTTGCTGTCTGTATGTCCATGACTCAACATCTACAGACCCAAATACTGAATAGTTTGAAGAAAATGCTCAGCTTTCTACAAAAAGCTTCTCAATAAATGAATTGATAAGCACGGTATTTTGAAATAAGATGGCAGTACAGTTGTCTCATATGTTTTGGTGAGTTGTCGTTGCAGGAATATTGTTGCTTTTGGCTGATAAAATTATGCAGTAACTTGCGTTCTTGTGAGAGCAGGAGCAGACTGTAATCAACAGTTCTGTCAAAACTTTGACAAGTAAATTACAAATCAACTCAACATCTTCCATACAGCTTACTTTGGACTTGCCTGTTGCCTTTCTTTATAGTGGTTAAGAGCTAGACAGCTCCCTGCTCATCTGATGTGATCTGGAAATCCTAGAACATTTTTTATGAAGTATTTCAAATTCAGGGCAAACTAAAGGCAACCGTTCCTGAAGAGTCTTTTCTTGTCCCAGTATGACAGTGTCCCTGTGCACAAAGTGCTTTACTTTGTCAACTCTGCTTTACTCTTTAGTCTGATGTTGAAGAACTTGACTGGCCTACAAAAAGCCTCAACAAACACCTTTGGGATAAATGGAAACAGTGACTTTGTGCCAGGCCCCATTGCCCGAGATCCCTGCCTCTACCTCAGTGATGCTCCGGTCTGAATGGGAGCAAATTCCCACAGCCGTGATCCAACATCTAGTTGTGGTAGTATGAGGAAAAGTAGCGAATTAAAACCACTATTGCATGGTTCCCTTAAGATCAATCATAAATCAAAACTTTATGAACACCAGACGAGTGTCTGCGCCTTCTCAAACAAGAATAGACCACTAGTGTGTTTCTACTCAAAAGCTTTGCATTTCAGGTTGTTGGCTCATCTTGTGCTGTCTTAGGCTACGTCCACACGAAGCCAGAGCTTTCCCTATCCGATCTTTTTTTTCCCCTCGTCTCAAGAAATATCTGCGTCCACATGAAACCACAAAACGATGTAGTATACATGCCAGACCAGCATGTGGCGCTGTAATTCTGCAACAGAGATACACTAATAACGGAGAAGAAGACTATGCGCATAAACCTTGTGCGCGGTATACAAATGAACATGGAACAATACATTTATTAATCTGTGTTAATGTTAGTTAATAAAAAGACAATCGTTCAGTGTTTGTTCATGTTTTTGTTGCTGTTACGTGACGTAGCGGTGTCTGACTAGGGGCGAGACGTGGACTGATGACGTCATCGTTTCAGAAAATATACGGATTCGCTGTCCACACGAAAACACAAGGGCGCCATTTTCAGATTTATCCACTCTGGGACCCGGTTTCAAAAAATATCGGTTTCACTCTCCCAAAACGCCGGATCTGTGTGGACGAAACGCCTATACGATATAAAATTTATGAGTATACAGCTAAACGCGTCTCCGTGTGGACGGGGCCTTAGTTTTTGGAATGGCTGCATTTAGTTTTAATGTAGATGA